TCAAGGAATCAATTCTGAAGCACTTAGAGGAGAGGAAAGTGATCAGGAACAGTCAGCATGGATTCACCAAGGGCAAGTCATGCCTGACTAACCTAATTGCCTTCTATGATGAGATAACTGGGTCTGTGGATGAGGGGAAAGCAGTGGATGTGTTATTCCTTGACTTTAGCAAAGCTTTTGATACGGTCTCCCTCAGTATTCTTGCCAGCAAGTTAAAGAAGTATGGGCTGGATGAATGGACTATAAGGTGGATAGAAAGCTGGCTAGATCGTCAGGCTCAACGGGTAGTGATCAATGGCTCCATGTCTAGTTGGCAGCCGATATCAAGCGGAGTGCCCCAAGGGTCGGTCCTGGGGCTGGTTTTGTTCAATATCTTCATTAATGATCTGGAGGATGGTGTGGACTGCACCCTCAGCAAGTTTGGAGATGATACTAAACTGGGAGGAGTGGTAGACACGCTGGAGGGTATGGATAGTATACAGAGGGACCTAGACAAATTAGAGGATTGGGCCAAAAGAAATCTGATGAGGTTCCACAAGGGTAAGTCCTACTCTTAGGATGGAAGAATCCCATGCACCACTACAGACTAGGGACCAAATGGCTAGGCAGCAGTTCTGCAGAAAAGGACCTAGGGGTTACAGTGGATGAGAAGCTGGATATGAGTCGACAGTGTGCCCTTGTTGCCAAGAAGGCTAACGGCAGTTTGGGCTGTATAAGTAGGGGCATTGCCAGCAGATCAAGGGATGTGATCATTCCCTCTATTGGACATTGGTGAGGCCTCATCTGGAGTACTGTGTCCAGTTTTGGGCCCCACACTACAAGAAAGATGTGGGAAAATTGGAAATAGTCCAGCAGAGGGCAACAAAAATGATTAGGGGGCTGGAGCACGACTTATGAGGAGAGGCTGAGGGAACTGGGATTGTTTAGTCTGCAGAAGAGAAGAGTGAGGGGGGATTTGATAGCTGCTTTCAACTACCTGAAAGGGGGTTCCACAGAGGATGGAGCTTGGCTGTTCTCAGTGGTGGCAGATGACAGAACAAGGAGTAATGGTCTCAAGTTGCAGTGGGGGAGGTTTAGGTTGGACATTAGGAAAAACTTTTTCACTAGGAGGGTGGTGAAACACTGGAATGGGTTACTTAGGGAGGTGGTGGAATCTCCTTCCTTAGAGGTTTTTAAGGACCGGCTTGACAAAGCCCTGGCTGGGATGATTTAGTTGAGGATTGGTCCTGCTTTGAGCAGGGGGTTGGACTAGATGCCCTCCTGAGGTCCCTTCCAACCCTGATATTCTATGATTCTATGCACACGATGCCCTTGGCAAGGGTAAGGGAGGACAGATGCTTCCAAGATTCCTTTGCACCCATAAGTGCTAGAAACCAAGTGTTTTGTGGCAAAAGCCAAAACTCGGGGCAGCGATTGTGGAGCAGGGGCCCCGATTCCGGGCACGCGCAGGGCCCTGCCTCTGAGATGGGATCCAGATGGGATCCCTAAACCAGCTGGGGAACAAAGCAGGAGAGACCCTGCCTCCTGCCCCGACCCCTCCTGATGTCACTTCTTGGAGTGGTTCCTCTTACCTCCACTGGGCTGTCCCACTGTGTCAGCCATTCCTCCTCCTCCACTCCACACTCCGTACAAATAGATACTTGATCAGTAGCACTGGCTAGTGGTGAGTTCAGAGCGTTTCTCTGTGTATCACAAGGGGGAATAATTACAGATGGGCTTGAGCAAGTGCCCCTGACCCAAGCGCCTGAATGCTGGAGAAGTTTGGGATCCAAACTGGGATCTGGCTCCAAGTTTCATGGTTCTCCCCTTTCTCTGTAACAGATTAAACCAAAACCCCAGATCCAGGCACCCCCAAATGCATTATGGGCTCAGTCCAGTTTGGAGTGGGCAGGAGCTCACCCCACAAGAACCATGATCACAACTGACACTGATTGACTCCCTCAAGTCAGCGCAGAGACAGAACAGCCCTCTTGCCCCTAGAGGGGTCCATCCAGGGTGGGGCTGAGGCACATTGACAGGACATCAGGGCAAGACTAGACTTCCCCTGCTGCTTCCCACTGAGTCACCCACATGGATCTTCAGCACTGAGAAGAAACAGGCAAGCAACAACTCCTGTCTCTCCTTGGAGACCTGCCCTGACCCTGCTGTGAACATGGGAGGGGATACTGGCTGTATACCAAGCCTAGGAATCACTTCCATTCCTACCCATCCATCTCTCTAATCTAATCCATCCAATCACCTCATCCATCCAATTATCCCATCCCATCAACCCATCCATTTCACCCTTCCATCCATACCTTAGCAAATATTACGATTTATGTATGTTAATATGTGTATTTATGTATGTAATTTTTATGAGTTTTGTATGTTAAACTCTCATAATTCTTTTACATACTAATCAAAAGCCTTTTTGTGTGCACCTCTATATTTACTGCCCTATACATACTGAAACTAAAATCTTCTTTGTCCTTCAATTGAATCTAATGGGTGAAGGAAAAATGATGGTGTGACATTGTCTAATTAAAATATAATCATGCAAATCATTATTGCTACCACTGTTATATGATTGCAACAAAAATATAACTTATGGCCAGAAAGGGTTAAACAGCTTGCAGGCTAACTAACCCAAAGCCAAGCTTTAAAGACGTGGGGAGATAACGTTTGAGTTTTTGTGTATTTACATATGACTGCCTGATGGATAAATTGCCTTGTGTTAATCTGTGTGAATAATTAACAACGATGCTTAGGAAATGGGGCCTATTGTTCCCCGAGGGACTTCAACTTGTCAAGACGACCTGAAATTGTACAAAAGATTCTTGAGTCCTGATCCTGTTTATCTCAGATCTGCTTGAGGCTTCATACAGGGGAAGCTAAAGCCATGAGGACTGAGATCCCAGTCCTAAACTGGAACGCCCTGCAATGATACTGGACATTGGACTATAACCTATGAACTATTTCCGAAAGAACTCTTTGCAACTACAAATCTGCACCTCAAGAACTGAACTCATGTCTGTGTGTATATTGATCTTTTAATCACACTCTCTTTTCTTTTTAATAAATTTTAGTTTAGTTAATAAGAACTGGCTATAGCGTGTAGTTGGGTAAGATCTGGAATATTCATTAACCTGCGAGGAAATGTGTCCGATCCTTTGGGATTGGTAGAACCTTTTCTTGTATATGATGAAATAAGATTTTCAGAAAGCTTCATCATATTTGACGTGGGAACCTGGACAGAGGCCTGAGGTTGGGTTACTTTAAGGGAACTGTGTTGTTGGTTTCTGGACAACCAGTGAGGTAATAAAGAAGCTGTTTTATGATGGCTTGGTAAATTCAAGTATTGAAAATATCCACCAGTTTTGGGGATTATCTGCCCCATTCTTTGCAGTTCACCCTAACTGGGTAACCTCAGCTGGCCCCCATTGGAACCATGGTCACAGATGGAATGTGGGCAATCTTTTACCCTGACCTTACTAATATAGCCCAGACACCCAAGGAAGGGACCCCTCAAAACGAATGACAGGTGTCTACAGAAGTATGTTATAATAAACAAGACTGGGAAATTGATATGGGTGCTTATGACCCAGTTATGTTTTGGGATTGAGAAGAGGTAATTCTTATTGCAGATGGATTCTGTAATGGATGAGATAATGACCCACTGAAAGATGTTTTTAACTCATTAAGAACTCTCGGTTGTCACAGCTGTTATTAATGACTTGGTTAGAGATTCCTTTTTGCTCATCAATCGGGTAAACCGAGGAACATAAAAGAGATTCCATGAGTAACTAGGAAAACAGAACACATGGTAAAATTAATCACAGAAAGGTATTTTTCCCTCCAAAAAGAAGTATCTTTATCTCGCACCCTAGAAAAGGAAAGTAGGTTGGATAGCTAATTTGTGAATGAACACTGCCAGTATTCCACTAGGTACAGAGGAAAGACCCAAACTACCTTCTCTTTGCCATCTACCAGGGGTGGTAGAGTGTATCTTCTTTCTGCAGTCTGTATAGTGCTGCATTAACCTTTCATTAAGTAATTCAATTTGCCCCCGTTATTTGACAATTGCAAATCATTATTAAATTCAAACATGCAACGCACCCAGCCACTAATGATGACCACTTACTCACTCGAGTAAGCCCACTGACTGCAGCAGGACTACCCCGCTGTGGAGTGCGCCCCGAGGTGAGTAAAGTTTTCACAGTTGGGCCCTTAGTGAACCATTGTCCTGTCATCCCAAGTGAATTTGTATCTAGGGGTCTGTCCTGGGGCTTATTTACATAGGTTCTGTTTTTTTAAATCATTTAATAATTATGATACTTATTAATTATGGGTCAAAACATTTAAAATAGAGAAAATCCATAGGCTCAATGGGCGAGAGTATTTTGTTCAGAACAAGATATCCTGAGGGAGAAAAATATAAGGAAAAAAGGATACAGCATCCCCCACCTCCTCTCCCTGACCCAAGCCCCTCATCTAATAGAGATGGACTCAAGCCACAGAATTCAAATCTGGATCCAGATTTCCATCCCCGCCCCCAAGTTCCGGGGTTGTTTGGCTCTGAGGATCGGATTCGGTCCATGATAAAAAGAAGGGTAATTGTGAAATCTGGATCCAGTTCAGATTTCAAACACCCAAAGGTTTGAGGAGTTGGCTTTGATCTTTCTCTGCTCTACAGTCACTGCTCAAAGCCAATGGGCCATTGTCCAACCTACCAGCCTGCCTGTGTGCTCTGTCATGGAATGTCTCCCAAACCTGCACCCCCAAACCTCTGCCCTTGTCAGTAAATAGCCACTAATTCACATGGCCCCTTCCAGAAGCCCCTGGCTCAGGCTCTTACCCACAGAAGGTCTCTCTGAGCTGTACTCACTAACCCTGCTCTCTCTGTAGCCCTTGGGTCTCAAGAAACCCAAGATCCTGCTGCTCCCTCCACACCACGAGCCAACAGGCACAGAGCTGGGGATGCTCCCCCTTATTTATATTGTGGCTCCGCCCATGGCCATGGCCACGCAACCTGCCCCCAGTGTGATTTCACCCAGAGATGCTTTGTGATGTGGTCCCCATGGCGACAGCTGGTGGGGTCACCACAACACCTGGAGGGATGCTGCTGCCCAGCCTGGCCCCACCCCAGTGCAGTCCTGATAAAAGCAGAGGGATGAAGGGCCCTCCCCTCCCGTGGGGGTTTGTTACCACCAGCTACCGTGCCTGTGCCGTCACAGTTAAGTCGGCATAGTCCTCTAGCCTAGATGTGGCATAAACTGACAGAAAGCGCCCAGCTGCTGGTGCAGGAACACTCCCTCCCCTCCCCAAATGACATTAGCTACGCCGACCAAAGCACTCTTCTCTTGGCATAGCTTCGTCTATGGGGGTTTTGTCGGCAGGGCTATGTCCCAGGGGGGTGGGGGGTTTTCCACTCCCTGATTGACATTGCTATGCTGGGTCAAGTTTTGAATGTAGACCAAACCTCATAAAGAGGCTGAAGGCTTCGTTTTACAGGGGAAAAGCAGGAAAGTCCAACCCAACTCCGTGTTTCTCACCCTCTTCAGGCTGGCGACCCCTTCTACAAAGTCAAAGTGTTTTACAACTCTCTCTCCCCCGCTAACATTTCCTGTACAATGATATCTGTGATAGCAGTCATAAGGCAATAATAGACTTGCTTTGTGTGTGTGTCTGGAATGGTGGACCAGGAAGACTTGATCTTGAAGGGTAAGTATGTGCAGGGAAAGGGAGATTTTCTTCGCTTTAGGTTGTAACAGTTTTCAATGCCTCATGACCCTCCTGATTGCCTTTTGTGACTCTTCCTGGGGACTGGACCCACCCATTGAGAAATACTGCTCTAAATGAACGTCAAGTAAGACCTTGTTAGGTCCACCCACCTCAGAGCTGCTCAGATGGGGAATCTCATTCAATTCATAAAGTAAACTGGACAGATCAAAGACTCCAGCTTTTCAATAAGATCTTTTAGATCTCATCTTTACGCTCCTAATCAAGAGTCCCAGCAATATGGACTCAGGCTGCCAACCAGAGAAACTTCAGACCTGAGTGGAGACACCCACCTCAACTCAGAGGCAGGAAATCCAGTAGTTTGGAAAGCAGGACTTAACGGATATTAAGATTATATCCTTGAAACTGAATGACAAATCTACCACTCTCCAACCATGGCTACTGACAGCAACTTGGGACCAACTTGACCAATATTCAAAAGCCTTCACAATTCAACAGAATCAGAGGAAACATAGAGAAGTTCCTGCCTTGTTGCCTGAAAAGGAATACAATACTGATGTTAGATCTGGCTTGTCCTCGAATCAGAACCCTAGATTAGCGTGTTATCCCTGCGGGGAAAAAACTTAACTGGTGTTTACCCCACTCACTTACAGTAAAACAGACAATACAAGATAGAGCCTTTGATGGAGCATTTTTACTGTTGAGCGACAACTCTGCCTGAAGGACCTGTCAGTACATGCTCTTTCCCAGTAGATAAGACATTGGATCCTCCCAATGAGGATACTGAACTTTACCAACAGGACATTTCCCTGGCACAACTGGCTAGAGCTAACCCCTCTTTAGCCGTCTGTGTAACATCCCCATATGCTGTCCACCAGAATTCAGACAGATTTGGGTTTCATAAAGCTTGGCAGGTCAGAGAACCAGCGCTCAGCTCCAGAACCTCTGTGTGGAGCTGTGATGTGGTGCCCACTCCATACAAGGCCTTAGGGGGTTAAGGGGACCAGGTCAGACCAGCTGCACCTGGAGGAGGACCCAGGGAGCAAGGAGGACTAATTAAAGAGGAAGCTCAGGTGGACAGGAACAGGAGAGGCCTGTATAAAGCCCAGCAACTGACTGTAGAAGGAGGCTGCTGAGAGAGAAACTGCAGTCACTGTTAGGGTGAGAGAAGGCAAGGTAGGAAATAGCCCCGGGATACATCAGTAAGGGAGAGGACTGGGCAGACCTTGACTGCTTTGGACTGAAAAAAAGTGTAGAGGGAGTCCCTGGGTTCCCCTCCCAGCCACTGGAGAAGTGGGACCATTAAAGGGGCAGTGAAAGAAGAGTGCTTGGGACAGTGGATCTAGAGAGCCTTTGATGCACATGATCCTCTGGAAGGGGGAGCTACAGTGGAGAGCCAAGCCACGAAGTGAGAGCAGCTGAGTCCCGAGAGAGTGACGAGTGCCACCAAAGGAAGGGGCATCGGCCTGGCGGAGCTAATCCCCAAATGCAGGCAGAAGGAGGTGCTCCAGCGGTGAGCAGGGCACCCCATGACAGGAGCGGCTGGAGATCAAAGTGAACGATCCTCACCATCATCTCGGGCTATTACTGCACATGGCAAGAAGGGGATAAGAGAACACCCTGGAGAGCATGCTCTAGCCCTCTCTTACACAATATAGCATCTTAAAAGTACTGAGACATTGTGGCTCAGGTGTTCCTAGTGTCAAGAAGGAGCACGATTGTCTTAAGCAGCCCTGCCAAGGCCTCAGACAGCCTCGTGTAAAAGCTATCTCATAATGACACCATTAAAGAACCTGTCTACTGCAGGGAAGTTTGCATATCTGGAATATGTCAAGGCTTCAATGACCCCACAGCTTTTAAGCAGGGATGAAAGTGTCCTTGTTTATACAAAATGTGAGGGAAGAGCCAACTGAGGGTCAAGTCTAGATACAGGCAAAGTTGCCCAAACATTCAGGGAGAATAATCATACCAGATATTTGATGTAATATTTGCTGCCAAAAAAAGGCCAAAGGGTGAGGTGCTGTTTTATTGATAGAGGTCTGCGTTGCTTCCACTTAGAGGCATGTACACGGAGACAGAGATACAACGAGATGAAAGTGACTCTCACAACACCTGCTGCTTGTGGCTTTGATGGGACCATGGCACAGAAAGGGGAGAACCTCTGGGTTCTTTTGCAAACCAGAGACCTTTCTCTGGAACACAGCCGCGAGTACAATGTCCCATAGGGTGTCAGTACAGATGCACAGCATTTAAGGAGTGGGCCCACCATGCC